GAATTTCATATGCAGGCTTTCTAAAATTTGTCAAGCAACTTGAAATTGTGTAGAATGGAAAGTTCAAAACCTGGAAAAGAAAGAAAATTCATGAGGAATTTAAGGAGATCCAAGAAAGGAATTCAAAAGGAGAGCCCGAGAGAAATTAAAGAGATTTTCTTTCCTAAATTGAAAATTTTGAGAGGCTAAATTGAAAAAACTTGGGTATATCTTTTGTAATTTATTGTTACCTAGAAAATCATATTGTTTTTGGCTAGATGAGCTTTTAGAGTTTGGAGAAAATGTTTCAGATGTCAGCGGATTGAGTTTGTCATTGCGGGATGTTCTTCTTCTTTTTTTCTTTTATATTTTTTTGGTAATGATAATGATTAATAAATTAATTTTATTAATTGTTAATAATTATGGATTCAATTCTTAAATTTAATAAATATCCTACTTCACTTAATAAAGCGCAACCCAGCAAACTGTTCGGTGGAGTTTATTGCGGAATGTTGTTCTGATGCCTTTCATCAAAATAAGTAAGAATAATTTTACCTTTGGTGGAGTTCACTGCGGGATGTTGTTCTGATGCCTTTCATCAAAATGGGTAAGAATAATTTTACCTTATAGCTGGCGAGAAGACTTTCCAGTTTTTTATTGATAACTTTAACGAAGGTTTTAGTTTTCGTTAAATACGATCTCTGTCAAACGATGAATCAGTAACATGACCTGACATGACCTGACGTATTACTGTAAAGTGACGTGATGTTTTTTTAGTGGTTCGGGATACACTGACATGGTTTTTTTTTTTTTTTTTTTCGATTTCTCATTCGATATATGAGGTTTTGCCTCAATTAATTTGAACCCAACCTGAGTCGCACACCTGAAAATGGTGGGTGAGTCTCTCAACGAAAATTATTGCGTATGCAAAGACTCAAACTCAAAATTTTGTTTAAATTAAAACAAACTATTTACCACTTGATCTCACCGCTCTCGTTGGTGGTATTCCTTTACCCTTTGGTATTCTAGATTTTCTCTTGGGACACAGCTTTTTGACTTTCGATTAAATCTCACAAAATTGAATTGGATCAGCTTGAGGTTTATTAATTGAGTGAGGTGGTCGGAGTTTTAACTTCTACTATCGTCGTGAACTCCACTAAAAAGTGGTTTGATGGTCGCGCACCTAATTTGAGAGAGGTGAAATGTTCACTCGATTTGAGGATCGAATCTCCAATT